TCCCACTCCACACCTTTGCAAAGTTTGGCCTTCATGCTTGAACTGCTCCTCCTCCTTCTCACTTCTACTTCTTAGAAAACCCATAATTCCCTTCAAAGTACACTTCAAGTGAAGCCTCCTACAAGAAGCATTTCCTCAATTCTCCAGTTGTAAATGTCCCTCCCCACCAAATAATGTACAGTTTTCCCTTCCACATCATGGGGGTTAGGGATGAGGTGCCCCAGTAATCTGGAAAATCCGCATAAAATTTTTTGGCCCTCTCTTCCTACCATAGAAGAAGTCTGAATTTTTTTCTTTTATGGGGTGTTTATAGTACCTTACTGTAAAATTCGGGTTGATATTGTATAATACTATACATATATTTTATGCATTTCTGAGTTTCTAAGCTTTTTCTGTGTTGTCTGCTGGCCTTCAGTGTTGTCTGTGGCTTCCACAAAACTCCCCCAAAGTGCCCATTTAATTTCTTATGTCGACCCACGATGCAGTGGAGAAAGTCGTGATGTGGAAGGGATAACTGTTGTTTAGTTATTTTTCAGTCATATCAAAACCCCATTTGGGGTTTTCTTGGCAAAGATATTGGCGTGGTTCGCCATTTCCTTCTCCAGACCATTTCATAGATGAGGAAACTGAAGCAAACAGGGTGAAGTGACTTGCCCAGGGTCACACAGCTGGTGAGTGTCTGAGGCCAGATTTGAACTCAGGTCTTCCTGGCTCTAGGTAGGCACTCTATCTACTGTGTCACTTAGCTGCCTGAATAATTAGTTGTTATTATAATACTTATATTATTATATGTATTATTTATTTTGTGAATATTTTAAATTTATTTGTCTGCAATGCAAATATGCCCTACTCCCTCTAGTAGAATGCAAACTCATAGAGGGCACAAAATGTTTAGTTTTGCTTTTGTCTCCCCAGCTCCTAGTACAGTGCCTGGCACAGAGGAAGCGCTTAATAAACGTTTGTTGAATGAATGAATTCTGGCTTAGAAATCAAAGAGATATTGCAATGCACCTTTTGGTCAGCAATTTCAACTGTAGTGTAACAGCTCGGAAAGAAAATGTACCAGAAGATGAAAAATGACCTGGGTCAATTTTATTCACATTCACTAAGATGATTGATAAGAAGGTACCCATGAGAGCCAGATCAAAAATGTTCAACTCCATTGCACTGCCTATGATGATCAGGATGTTGGCTCACAATAAAGAGTGACTTAGTCACTTGCAATTACTTAGAAGAATCACTTGTAATCACTTAGAAATGAAATGGAAAGAAGGATGTGTGTGTGTGTGTGTGTGTTGTGTGTGTGTGTGTGTGTGTGTGTGTGTTTCGATGGTGGGGAGGAGGGAATGAGGAAAGAAAAAATCTTAACTGAAAAAAATTAATTTTAAGACACACACAAAATAAATGTTGTATACCATTTGGTGACAAAGTAGAAGAATGATGTGTGTTATTACATGAGAAATGAAGAAGTTGGGGAAAGATTGGGTTAGCAAACATATTGGAGGCAATTCATCACATAAAAAAAACCCATTGAATGAGTCAAGGCAAGGAAGACAAAAAACAAATTGGCTGCCAGTCTTGCAGTCAATCCCGCAGAACCACAAACAGTCACCCCAGTGATGGAAAACCCATTGAGACATGCAGATGTCTGGATAGTTTGCATGGGAATCAAAATGGCGAATGTAAAACCACTACTTTGCTATTTGTTGGATTTCTGCTCTAAGCCCACTGGGAAACAAGAGACCTGAACTTAAGAAGACAAAGAACTTCCTGGCAATTAATACTGGCTTATAACAGAGTGAACAGCTACGTTCCAAAGTAGTGTGTCTTCTCATAACTGCATGTATTCTTTTAAAGGGAATTCTTTTTTCTTGGCTAGGCAGTGGAGTTAAGTGACTTGCCTAGGGTCACACAGCTAGTAAATATTATGTGTCTGAGGCCAAATTTGAACTCAGGTCCTCCTGACCTCAGGGCTGGTGCTCTATCCACTGTGCCACCTAGCTGCCTCTTTAAGGGTACTTTTACAGTGGGTAAGTGATTGAACTGGATAACCTTTAAGATCACCTTATTGCTAAGATTCTGTGAGATATATAGAAAGGAAGAATTTCTATTTTGCTTTCTTAACGTCTCTTTCCCTCTATCATGTGGGCACAGAGTTCTTTTATAATACTTCTTTTAACTTAGAATGCAATTAAAATAGGCCTAGGGAGAAAAAAAAATGTATAATTTGGGTCCAATTTTTGAGTCCCTATAGACTTGTGTGGTCTACCCTCTGATTTTGTTTTTAATTCCAGTTTCCAATACCCAAATGAACTGCTCACTCTGGAAAATGAATCATGAATTGACGAGCAGAAGATTATGCAGGGCCAGATAGAATGAACATAGGAGAAAGATTGGATTGGGAGGTCGGAGGTAGGAGATTTGGGTTGAGGGCAGGTTCTGCCCCTACATTGCTGTGTGATTATAGGCCAGCCCCTTCCCCTCTCTCAGTCTCAGTTTCTTCTTCCACAAGTTCGGGAGGGTCAGACTCAGCTTTAAGATGATTTCCAGTTCCGACAGCCTGTATCTCTGTGTGTATTAAACACATATTCAGACTATGTCTTAGTATCTTGTGTCTAGCAGAAAATATAGTGGAAATCATTCTGGATCAGGAGCCTGTAGATCTAGGTTGAATCTGGATTTGAATCTTAGCTCCACCATTTAGTACCTGACTGACCGTGATCCATTCATTTAACTGCCTTGGTCTCAGTTTCCACGTGTGTAAAACTAGGGAGTTAAGTTAAATGACTTCTAGGGTCCCATCCAAATCTAAATTCCTAGGATCCTACTGATAGATTGCCACTTTAATTACTTTGTCAAAACGTAATTTTATTTACACAGACTCCAGAAAATGTTCTGTGACCAACCGAACCCCATTTGTCCTGTGAAGTTTGGATTTAGTCAAAAGGCCACCCTTCAGGACCTAGAAGGTCACATGTGGCCTCGAGGCCACAGGTTCCCCACCCCTGCTAGAGCCCTTTCTCTAAACTAGGACCTGCCCAGATTTGTTACAGATTATGTTTGAGGAAACTTAGATCATTTCCACAAGAAGCAGATAAAACTGTTACTCTAATAAAGGAAAATATTTGAAGTTTGGTGTTTCTGTAGCATTCACTCTAAGATGAGTTTGGCCAAGACCAGTGGTGTCTGGGGCTGCTGGCCTTTGTTCTGTCTATAGAATCATGAGTAGCTACTTCAGTAAGAGACAGTCAGAGAACTGCATCCCTGGAACAGAAAGGTCAGCAAACTCTTCAGCTCTGGGTGCCAACAACAGTCCCTACTGTCAGGTCTAAGAAAACATAGGAAAGAAGGGGAGGGGAGGGACAGGAGTAGGGAATAGATAAGATAATAAGTGGAAGAAGAGGAAAAGAAGAAGGTGGGACAGAGAGAAGGAAGAGGAAGGGGAAAGAAGAGGAGGAAAGGAAGAAGCATTTATTAAATGCCAACTATATGCCAGGCACTGTTCGAAGCACTTTACAAGAACAAAAATAAGGAAAATAAAGGAAAGGTGAAAAAGTTTATACGACAGATGGTGCTAAGTGGTCACAAACTGCCGTTTTTACTGTTTCTGAGCTGCATCCACATCTGGGTTGCTTGCCGCCTGACAACTTATAATAACAATAATAATTTTAACCCCTGGGGGATTACATCTTAATAGTGATGACAATAGCATTTATGTAATGCTTTAGGTATTGCAAAGTGTCTTACAAATTATCTCGTTTCATCCTCATAACACTGGGAAATGGGTGCTATTATTTTCCCCATTTTACAGATGAGGAAACTGATGAATCCAGACTTGCCTAGAGTCACACAGACAGTTAAATGTCTCAGGCAGGACTCAAACTTCAGTCTCATTCCAAGTCCCATGCTTTGTCCACCACATCACCTAACTGCCATATTGTGATTTAATGGTGCAAAGGGATTATTCTCTGAGCAGGTGAGAGAAATGCCCACCACTTTCCTCCAAGGACTGCTAAACTCATCCGGGTTACTGAGGAGGCTTTAGTTTGCTTCTAAAATAGGCAGCAAGTGTTTTTTTTTTTGTTTTTTGTTTTTTTTTTTGTGGTAGCAAGAGCTAAAAACCAAGTAGATGCCAATCAATTTGTGTGGGACAGCGACCCTAACCCAAATTAAACTCAGAAACTTCTCAAGGTGGAAAGTAAAGGTTACTTTTATTACAATCTCGAGAGATGGCTGTCTGCTCCTCCCATACACATGGAGAGAGAGAGAGAGAGAGAGAGAGAGAGAAAGAGAGAGAGAGAGAGAGAGAGAGAGAGAGAGAGAGAGAGAGAGAGAGAGAGAGAGAGAGAGAGACCCAGTAACAGAGGCCACCTAATGAAAGCAAATCTCCGCCCACCACGCAAACAAGCATCCACCCACCACACAAACAAGTTTCCACCCACCACTATCCCTTACCCCTTAACTGGGGGTGGGCTTACATTCTAAGATGGAAAGTCTCTTCCTATCCCCTTAACTGGGAGGTAGGGCTTACATTCCAGGCACGAAATTCAAAGACAAGGAAAAAGCAGGAAGCCAAGGGCAAATGGCTCAGGTTGGGGGTGGGGCAGGGCTTATTCTTTCTGGTAAGTGCTTAAAAACAGGGTCTGAGTGGGGGAGGATTTTGAAAGTAATAATCAAGAATTATTTGACCCTTTGAAGAGCCTTCACTTCTGAGAGTTCATTTCTCACACTACCTTCTGAACTCATTACCTTAATTACACTGAGAAGTCTTCACTGGGTCATCCCATTCAGATTGGAGAATGGTTAAACAAATTGTGATACATGAAAGTGATGGAATACAACTGATTCATAAGAACCCACGAGTGTGGGAAGACTTCTATGAAGTAATGCAGAGTGAAGTAAACATTCCAGAGAAACAATATACACAGTGGCAACCACACAAATGGAAAGAACAGAAGAACATGAAAAATAGAACTGAACACTAATTATGATGACCAGGCTTGGTTACCTGAGAAGAACTGAGAAAATGTATCTCATCCCCTTCACTGCAGAGTTGGAGACTATGAGTGCTGAACATTGTATACACTGTTAGACACAGGTAATGTTTTGCCTAGTTTTGTTGAACTGCTTTTCCCCCCTCTTTTCTCTTTTCTACTCTTTGTAATAAGAGGTAGCTCGATGGGTAGGGGAGGAAAGAGAGAGATATATTAGGAAATGAAGGTGATGAAAAACAAAATAACTTAAATTTTGAAATAAAATTAAAAGGCCAAAGGGGAGGATAGAAGAGCAGTTGGTTCAGAATCAAAAGACCTGCTAGTTCCAGCTCTTTCACAGCTAGCCGTATGACCTTGACCTTGAGAAATCACTGTAATCTCTCCAAGTCTCCAGTTTGTAAAATACTGTTTGGGGGCAGCTAGGTGGGACAGTGGATAGAGCACTGTCCCTGGATTCAGGAGGACCTGAGTTCAAATCCAGCCTCAGAAACATAACACTTAGTAGCTGTGCGACCCTGGACAAGTCAGTTAACACCATTGCCTAGCCAAAAAATAAAAATACTGTTTCATAAAATAAGGGAGTTGAACTAGATGATCATATGTGTATAGGTTCTTAGATTTAGAGATAGAAAGGGCCTTAAAGGTCATCTACCCAAATTCCTTTATTTTACAATTAAGGTAGGTCACACAGGAAATAAGTGCGATTTGAAACCGGTTTTTTTCTCCAGTTCCAAAACCAGCCCCCTTTCCACTTCACTCACTACTCTGTGTCCTTCTAATGACCACAATTTCCTTCCACTTGTCAAAGAGCCCTCACCCAGAGTTTTCCTATAAAGCTTGATGACTGTATAGTTCTCTAGAGAAAGCAAGGGAGAGAAAAAGAGCTGACTTGGCTTTCTGTGGGTTTAGGTGCAAGGACCCTGGGGCCTTGCATTAGCAAAATAAGGTGAAGAACTGAGTAATTAGGCAACCTCTCCATCCCCTCCCTACAAAAAAAATCCTAAAAATGCAGCCATATTCAATGAATAGATCACTATAAAATATATGGAATTTCAAGTTAAGGTTTGGGAGATTTTAAAAAAGCAATATTAAAGAAAAAGTTCCAATAAAACATCTTTTTAATAGGATTTTTAAAAAAATGACAACTTTATGTGTGTGTATGTGTTTTGTCGGATTAAATAAAGCCTGTCCTATAGTCAATATCTTGTTAGCCTGAGTACTTACAGGAGAGCTAAGGGCCTTTGCAGAGGAAGACATGGTCCAAATTCTGATGTCCCCTAAGAAAACTCTAGGTTGGGGCAGGAGCCACACATGGAGTGATTGTTGAACCTGGCCCCTGGGAGTCCAGTAGCTCAAGTCAAGCAGTGGGTTGCTTCTCAAGGATCTCTGCCAACTCTAAAATCCTATGACTTAGATTCACAGCAACATTATTTTCCTACTAAAGAAAACCCGAGAGCCTAAGATTTCAAAAGATTCTCTTGAGTCCTCAATGAAGAGTCTTCAATGAACAGTCTAGAGCATTAAATTTAGTTCAAAGCTGGAAGTGTACAGTGTTTTCTGCCTTTTCAGGGTGGGGAAGCAGGGAGGCAATAAACTCTTATCCTTATCAGTAAGCAGCACTCAGGCTGTCAAACTAGGAGCAAATATGGGAATTGCACAATTCCTCCAGGAGTGCCACAAAGCTCAAGTTCCAGGAGGGCTCACAGGCATACTTTGTCAGCTACAAGCAACTATCAGTATCTAGAGGAACAGGGAGATTTATTCTTTGGGACTCAGGGGAACTAGGAAACTTTGTCTTCCCCCTAAGGTTTGTCACCCTTATCTGAACTAGGGGACACGTGGGCACAACCAATAAACTCGTTTCTGTACAAAATGCAACAATGACTACATAAAAACAGCTAGAACCTGGCATGAGCCCTGAGAAGCCGCTGCCTTCAACAGGGTCCTCGGCATGTTAAAAGTCTCCTGTGTTTTGGAGTATGCTGTCACTAGCACTGGCTGATAGATCTTTGGAGGGAAAGACCTTCAGAGTTGGAGAGGCTGCCCCTATCAATGTGAGATACGTTTGTTCAGAAACATTGACTTTCTGGAGCCTAAACCCCAGTCAGAACATTCTTGGAAACGGGTTGTGGGAAGGTTGTTATCAAGTCATAGAATTTCGGAACTTCAGTGGGAAATGGTAAGGATTGTGCCTTCTCATCCATAGCCTATTGGTGGTCTGGCATTATGCTTTTCCACAGGATGAGTACTTAAGAAATATTTGCAGGATTGAATTGACTTAAATTGAATCAAATGACTCTTTGATGTAATTTCCCCCTTAGTATTTGGGAAACATGAGGGGCAGCTAGGTGGCACAGTAGATAGAGTGCCAGGCCCAGAGTCAGGAAGACTCATCTTCCTGAGTTCAAATCCAGCCTCAGACAGTTACCAGCCATGTGACCCTGGGCAAGTCACTTAACCCCATTTGTCTTAGTTTCCTCATCTGTAAAATGAGCTGGAGAAGGAAATGGCAAACCACTCCAGGATCTTGGCCAGGAAAAGCTCAAATGGGACCAGAAAGAGTCAGGTACAATTGAACAACAACAACATCCTGAAAAAGCTATGACACTGATAATATCCACAAGTCCCCTGTGGGGCAGGCACTGCTGGGGAATAGGAAGAAAGGCAAAAGTAGTCCCATGCACTCAAGGAGCTTACAGTCTATTGGAGAAGCTCACAACATAATATTTCCACAAATTCCTCCACCTTCCAGCTAGTCAACAACTGGCATCATTTCCTTAAGTGATGCATCAAAGTGGACAGTTGACACAGGGACCCAAAACTGGGGCCTCCAGAGAGAAGGACTGCCCTGAATGCAGGATAGTGGCCTTGGCCATCCAGACCTCTGACGTCTGTGGAGAAGAGATGACAGGGACAGCGAAGAGACAGAGGGCCAATGGGAAAGGGACAATGGTGTATCAGCGGTCAGAATAATGAAATAATGGAGCAATGACCAGAGAAGGAGCTGATCAAAGGACAATAAGGCCAGGGCCCAAGTGTAGAGGAGAAGCTTACCCCAGAGGTGTGCTGTCAAATATTTAACAACTAGCTTTTTGGGTGGTTGCGTTGTATGCATGACACACTTTTATGTTCAAACCACCTTACTAATATTTTCTTCATTAAGTGTAGAAAAAAAGTCCTGATTTATAGCATTTGTAATTTCCAAGGTGTAAATGCTTATACTGAAAATTTAACAATCTACTCCAGCACACCTCTGCCTTACTCCCTTTTTGGGGACCCAACTAGGGCAGTACTGTAAGTCACCTGGATTGTGCAGATCCTTGGGAAAGGTTGACCTACTGTAGGAATGGGACCTCCTGACAACCCCTAGCAAGCCCCAAGCGCTCTCCCCTATGTGTGTGGAGCAGACCCAAGGTAGTACTCTAAGTCTGGAGGATTGTATAGGCTCCTGGATAAAGTGGAGGCCCATTACTGAGGAGCATTAATTACTTGATTCTCTAACTTTCCTGAGTTTTTTCCTCTTGTGGAAAACCCCACCCAGAATAGTACCATGCATCTGGAGTGTAGATTCCTGGGGGAAAGTCAAGCCCTACATTAAAGGAAAAGGCCAAAGGTGACCCCTTTCTACCACTTGCTTTGGGAACTGTAATCAAATCAACACTACCACTAAGTCTAGAAAGGGTGTGCCAATTGATATCCCTGTTGTTCCATTCACCATCTTTGTGACGTCCCAGACTATAAGTACCTTCCCTGGCCACAGCTCCCCAGTATGCACTGTCTTTTCCATTAGAATATAAGCTTCCTCCCTTTGATCCAGCAATAGCACTACTAGGTCTGTATCCCAAAGAGACCATAAAAAAGGGAAAAGCACCCACAGGTACAAAAATATTTATAGCAGCTCTCTTTGTAGTGGCAAAGAATGGGAAATTGAGAGGATGCCCATCAATTGGGGAATGGCTGAACAAGTTGTGGTATATGAATGCAATGGAATACTATTGTTCCATAAGAAATGATGAGCAGGCAGATTTCAGAAAAACCTGCAAAGACTTACATGACCTGAGGCTGAGGGAAGGGGGCAGAACCAGGAGAACATTGTACACAGTAACAGCAACATTGTGAGATCACCAACTTTGATAGATTTAGCTCTTCTCAGCAACGCAATGACACAAGACAATTCCAAAATACTCATGATGGAAAATGCTATCCAAACCCAGAGAAAGAACTATAGAGTCGAATGCAGATCAAAGCATACCATTTTCTCTTTGTTTTTTTCTTTCTCATGGTTTTTCCCTTTTGTTCTGATTCTTCTTTCACAACATGAGTAATGTGGAAATATGTTTAATATGATTGTACATGTATAGCCTATATCATATTGCATACTGTCTTGAGGAAGGGGCAGGAGAAAGCAAGGGAAAGTTTGGAACTCAAAATCTTACAAAAAAGTAAATGTTGAAAACTAAATATAAATACATTTAATAAAAAGTTAAAAATAAATAAATAGAACTTCCTAATTTTGACAAAAAAATATATAAGCTCCTTGAAGGCAAAGACTGTTTTACTTTTGTATTTGTATTTCCAGCATTTAGCACAATGCTCAGCCCATAGTAAGCATTTAATAATTGCTTTTCAATCATTTGCTCTTCAGTTCATTGATTCAGTCATTCATTTATTCCCCTAGCTCCTTTCTTTCTGATAAACATACTCAGATCTCCCTAAACTCAAAAACGCTTTTTTCCTTAACTCTTCTACTCTATTCAGCTGTCTTCCTCATCCCATCCCTCTCTCCTCCCCTTCAGTGCTAATGCCGCAAAAAAAAAAGAAAAGAAAAATGCCGCAATCAACACTTCCACTTCTCTCTACCCACTCTCTGCTAAACCACTTGCAATCTGATTCCTGCCTTCACATCACTAACCAGCCTGCTTCCTCTGTATCACCTTTGGCAGTCTGGTGAACCCTGTAGACCCCTGTCAGTGTAACGTACATCGGAATAATGGTTTTTAAATGCAGAAAATAAAATACATGGTTATAAAAGAAATCAACTATATTGAAATGCAGCTATCAAATTATAAAAAAAATTCATGGATCCCGGATTAAGTATCACTAG